GACCAACAAGGCCTCCTCGCCACCGAGATAGCTCTCCGAAGGCTGTAAAGCAAACCCGGTGACAAGTGACAACTTCAAAGTACCACTGGTTAAAACCCTGACCCTGCTCTTCCTCTATTGCCGCCCTTGGTCGGAGGCCGCCGGGATATGTAGTTCTAAAGGTAGCGGATATCCAAGTGCTCCAGGGGCCTTGGAACTACATATCCCAGGAGACAGTGCGCCGGAGAGATAGAGTGACACGAGCTGATTGGTGGAAAAGCCTAGCCGTTGCTCCAATCTCATTGGCCCAAGAGACCCACGGACCAATGGAAAGAGCGGAAGGGCCAGGCTGCACAAGCGGCGCGGCTACCTTGGATACCAAGGACGCGACTCGTTTGGAGAGTGTGGAGTTTGGAGTGAGATTCCCAGGGACTAAAACCCGCGCAGAAAAATAAGAGTCTGAATAAGGACCAGAACCAAGAGAAAGGGTAAGAACGGCGTGTTCACAGACGGGAAGTAGACGCAGAGCTGCCCCCTGTAGGCTGGGCCCCCTCCTCCTCTGCCCTGTAAGGGAACTTCCTCTTGCCTAGAAAGTACTGGATAGAAAAGAGAGCTGGGCTCCTGGCTCTGTCCTAACTGTAAGCAACCTTAAGCCACTCATTCGGTGCCTTTAGGTTTTACTATTTTCTTGTAGAATGACGGCAACAGTATCTCCCTTGCCTTGTGTGGGAGGGTTTTTACAAGGATCCATTGAAACTACAGTTGACAAAGTAGTGCACAGTCTACAAAACGAGTAAAGTGGTGTTTTAGGAATAGCATTGTTTCTAAATTGCTGGGAAATTTTGAGGCATTTGGTCTCGTTTAGATTTTTTTCTTTTTTAATTTTTTTAATTTTAATTAGAAAGATTAGTTTACATGTCAATTTCAGTTCCCTCTCTCTCCCATCCTCTCCTGTCCCCCCAACTAACACCCTACCTATCCTAAACCCTTTCTGCTCCCCAAGGAGGGTGAGGCCTTCCATGGGGGGCGTCTTCAGAGTCTGTGGTAGCCTTTGGGATAGGGCCTACGCCCACCCCCTTGTGTCTAGGCTCAGGGAGTATCCCTCCATGTGGAATGGGCTCCCAAAGTCCATTCCTATGCTAGGGCTAAATACTGATCCATTACAAGGTGCCCCATAGATTTCCAAGGGCACCTCACTGACACCCTCATTCAGGTGGTCTGGATCAGTCCCATGCTGGTTTCCCAGCTATCAGTCTGGGGACCAAGAGCTCTCCCTTGTTCAGGTCAGCTGTTTTATAGATCTCTTTCACTACAAATGATCCTCGGGGTTAGTGGTAAAAAACTAAAAGTTTTTTTTTCCCATAAGACTTGTGAGGGGAAAGTCTTTTTTCCTGGCCCTATTGGTTTATCTGTGTCACAGGGACCTGGTCCTTCATTTTTGAGGTAAAGATAGAATGTACTAAATAACTCTATAAGGCTTCTTTCCTTCTTTATTATTAAGTAGGCAGTAAAAATAAGGAAAGTGTGGGGTGCAGCCATTATTTCACCCTTGCTTGCCTAGCCTCTCCCACTCTCTACAAACAATTCCCTAAATTCCTTAAGTATAGATAGATAAGTTTGATAGAATGCCAGTCCTATGTATCGGTGTTCACTTTTAATCCTCCAGAATTTGGAAAGCTGAAGCTGAGGATCTCAAATCTGAGGTCACCCTGCACTACATAAAGGGAACTCTGTCTCAAAAAATAAAATAAAATGGTGCCTTTAAAGACAGAAGCCCTCAGCCAAAATGAGGACCCCAAATCTTGGGACCTGAAGTAACAGAGAGATTGGTAGACTGATCTAAAGTCTTCAGCAGTGTCTGTATTATTCCTTTAGTGAAGATTATGGTAGCCTCGGTGCAGCAGCCCAGACCTGCTTCCAGCAGCCCAAGAAGTCCTCTTACCCTTGGGGACTTCCACTGAGGCGAAGCCCTTCCTTGGCTTTACTGCAAAAATTAATGTTGGAATTAGCTAGTATGAAAGAGTTGGAGTTGATTTAAAAAAGAGAGATTTTAAACATAGATTTATGAAGCATAGGGGTTGACAGAGATGATCACTCAGGGAAAATAAGACATGCTCAAGAACACAGGTGTAGGCTTTTCAAAGACATTATACCCTCAAGTGTCTTAGCAGGAGCTCTGGAGAGTCACTCTTTTGGTGGTTCTCAAGTTACGCCTTGAAAGATTTCTTAGAAAGGATTTTAAAACCTTTTCTCTCTTTTTTTCTCAATAAGTTATATTATTGGATGGTTCTAGAGGTGTCCTAGACTGGATTACTGTCCAAAAATAAAACCACGTGTCATAAGAATGGTAGAAGAGGGTATTAACTGTAAGAGGTATTTACTGTAGATAGGGTTTCTGGTGAGATTCCTAGAAAATTGCTGGTTTATAGCTGAGAAAGAAGAAAGGCCTCTTGTGTTTAGGTCTTGGGCGTGATCCATTGCTACTTCAACATTCTAATTTGGAGATATCTCTATATAAAAGAAATGTTACCTTTCTATTGGCACCCTTCATAAATAATGTTGTAACTTCGTTAGAATTCATGATTTCAGCTGACGAGAGGCACTGGTAGCACTCTGAGATGAAGGTTCCTTTCCTTCCCATGTCTCCATCATTTCTGTGGTTCTAGCCTGCCTCTGGAAGATATAAAATACATTTTATGCTAAGCAAGAGCCTGCTCTATGAATAATGTCCTTAGCTTTGTGTTTTATGTGGACATAATTATCAGATTAGTTTTCAAATTATCTTTTTATGAAAACCCATAGGCATATTTTTGAAAAAGTGAAAATGGCACAAGCAAGTTGACGATGAATTCAGATTACTTGTATGATTGCTACATATAGTAAATAAAATGCATCCATAATAAATTATCCTGTTTCTATAGTAATTTTCCCATTCTGAGTAAAATTAAATTAATAGAATTGCCAACTGAGCCCTAATGGCATATGTAATACTATCATTATTTCATTACTTTCAAATAAAGGAACTAAAACTTATTGAAAATTACATTTCTGGTTTCATGAGGTTGAGAACTGAGACTCTGATCGATATTAAAGTTACCAACACCTAACATGTATATATCACATGTAAATAGTGACTAACAAATACCATTTTCAAAACATGCTTATGTGCATTGTCTCCCTATATCCTCACAAAACACTGTTAAGAAGGATAGCTGTTACTCTCCAAGAGTGACATGTAAGGAGACAGATTTAGAAACAGAAGGTGAAGCCAATATGATCCAGAAATTGTGGGTTTGGGCGACGAAAGCATAAAATTATGAATGTACAAGAATTTTTGTCTTATAGGGCTACTTGTAGTTAGAAATAATCTAATGCTCTAAATGCTCCCAAATAAGAAAGTGATAATTAAATTGACTATATATTGATAATCTTATAAAGCAATTTAAAAATTATATTTTGAAGGTGAGTCAATAATATAGGAAATCATCTATAATATTGGCTAAAAGAGCACATGATAACCTTTATGCATAGTTAAATCTTAACCTCTGTAATAACAATAATAAAATTATATTCCTAGAAACAATCCAGAGGGCGTATGGCACTTTATAATGGTAGTTATCTCTAAGCAGTGAGACTGAATGATTAGATCATGTTATCAGTGGTGAACATGTTTTGCATTTTAATAAGGAAAAAAGTAAGTACTTCTTAGAATGTACTGACCCCTAAGGCTGTCTCAGAAATTCAATAAATTTCTTAGGCAGAAATATGAATGCAGGTGGGTAGAGCGTTTCCTACTAAATAAATGTGAATGGCAGTGACTATTATTACTTTATGTTCAATTCGTGGACAGCAGAGGGCGTGAGAGGTTTTCAGGAGAAACAATAATCAGACCAAGGAGTCAGTAATTGAGCTAAAGGGAGAGAGACTGCCAGACTGCTCATGTTCCTAAGAGGCATTTGTTTAAAGTGGATTTGTTATTCTTACAAGATATTAGTACACTCAAAAAAAAAACACTAATAACTAGCGCTTCTGAGAAGTATTTAATGGATCTGGAGGTAGAGCCATTTGAAATCTGCTTATGAAACTACAAATAGAGACACTTTGACTTTCACCCTGTATTGTTCTTTTGTGCTGCTGCACTGGCTAACCAGCCTGTGATACTGCACTGAGTGGTGAGAGACAGCTCGAACTTGGGACCTCACAGGCAACCATGAAGTCTGATGCTGATTTTTCAGATGCTCCCTCAAAGTTTAATTCCTAGTTTACCTTTTATTTCAGTGATAGTGTATTTTAAATGATTTTTCTGCATGCATTGAGATGATTAGTCTTTTTGAAATGTATTGTGGTTTCTCACAATTAAGCCTTTAAATGTGGAATCATTTTCATTCTCTAGATGTACTTTGTTTGATCATGTTGTTATCTTTTCTGTATAAGGTGGTAGATACAACTAATGGTTTATGAGAAGTTTTGTATTTCATATTTATATGGGTTATTAGTCTAAAATTTTCTTTGATGTCTTTTCTTTCTTTAGGTATAAGGGTAAATTAGGGGCAAGTGTTTTATTTTTTCTTTTTGTGAGATAATTGTAGAGAATTAGTTGGTATTGTGGTTTAGCTTTACTAAAAAATAAGTGTTCTTTCTTTATATGAAATCTTCAATTTACAAATCATTAGTCTTCCCCTATTTTCTTTCTAGTTTGTGGAACTCTTATTTAGATATATGTGAAATTTGCATTCGCTCATTTATGCAGCTTAGCTGTGTTTATATGCTGTGCACTCTCTTCATTCTTGTACACCATTCTGAATGATGTCTCAAATCT